CCCCTTCAAGCCTTCTTGGGCACGTGAGCGCTGGGGACAACACCGTGGCCAACGTTGTCGATAGCGGACTGACGGGCACCGGTGAGACCGAACTGACGGTTGATGCCCTCGACACGGTGAGTTGAGTTGATGTTCTTGACAAGAGTAAGCTGCCAGCAGGTAGCTCCACCCTGGCGAGAGGTGATGGTAGAGTAGGCCAAGAAGTACTCCCAGATCTGCAGACGCTGGTCAGTCATGTCCGGTGAGGAAACTTAGGAGCGTCACAAACCTTGAACCATCTCTTTCCGTACTTGGCTTCGACCTTGTCACGGTTACCCATCCAGTTCCGGTACCAGCGCCAAAGGGTGGCAGAGTAGTGGACGCCAATGGTGTCGACAGCCTTGATCTCAAATCCGGCGGCCTCCAGTCGATCAACGACAAAACCAAGGGGCGTGCTAGCGTCAGCTCCGGGGAAGATGTACTTGTTCATGAAAAGACCCCAGATGAGATCCTCATACTGCCAGGACTTACGCAGACCAGCAATCTGGAGGAAGAAGACTCCATCATCATCCAACATTTCGTAGACCTGAGACAAGAAAGTAGTAAAGTGACGAACGCCGACATGCTCAGCCATTTCCAAGCAGGTGATCTTCTTGTAACCCCCGTCCACCCGGGGGGCGTCACGGTAATCGAGGCACAGGATACGGCTCTGAGATTCCTCAACACCGGCATTGCGAAGACCCTTGTTACCCCAAGCAGTCTGGTTACGACCGAGAGTGATACCAGTGACCTGAGCGCCGTAGTGGACGGAAGCATATTTGGCCAGAGTACCCCAACCGCAACCGAGATCGAGGACGGTGTCACCGGGTTGAATGCCGATCTTTTCACACACCACAGCCAGCTTGTTGTCCTGAAGCTCCTCAAGAGTCTCCTCACGGTTGATATCGCTGATGATTCCCGAGGTATAGATCATGCGAGGGCCCAGGAACCAAGCGTAGAAGTCATCGCCGCGATCGTAGTGGTCACGAACCTGTTCCTCATCTGATTGACGCATTCACGGTCAGCAACCTAGTTTTCCCAAAGTCAAAACGAAGCCTGGTCGCTTACCCTGGGAACGAGTGTGCATGATCATCTCAGGAATGAAGCCGAAGAGGAAATGCTTGAAGAGACCCATGGTGAAACGGAAATTGGCCCAGTCGTGACGGAACTCGAGGGCTTCCAGGGCGTCACACTTGAATTCCACCTCACCGTTGAAGTACTTTTCGTAGAAAACCTCCATGGGGATCTTGCTCTTGCCACGATAGGCAGCGCGGTCGTGCTCGCTGTGGAAGTTGAGGTAGTACTCGACGGGGCGACCGGCATACTTGGCCTTTTCGTTTTTGCGGGGAGAGATAGAAGAAGCTACAGACCAAAAGGCCATGAGGATGGGGATAGTGGTGAAGATCGCAAAGAAGATGGTGGTGTAGAAACCACCGCCAACTTGGCGAGCGAGGTACCATGGGATCAGCAACAACAGGGCGAACAACAGAGTGTTGGAGAAGCTATCGCTGCCAGGGGAATCGGCCGGTACAGGGGCATTCTTAATGGCCGGGTACTAGGAAACAAGAAACCCATTGATAGTCAGTGTCTGATTCCCACGGCTCTGAGGTCTCAATGGAATGAGAGGGAGACAATTGCCTCCTGAGGACAAAAGAATGGAGACAGCAAAGCTACTCACCGAGGTCGTCCGCACACCACAGTCATCAGCGGGAGTGACGCACGAGGCGGGAGGAGTTTCGATGTACTCGAAGTCCTCAAGGGACTCGGGATGTACAACCGTCATGGCGGAGGAGACGAATTGGCAGGTTGAGGAGGAATTGAGAGAGAAAGAGAGAGGGGGAGGAGGGAGGGAGGGAGGGAGGAAGGGGGGAGAAGAAAAGAGGTGGAAAGAGGAAGAGGACGAAAGGGAAGGATGGGAAAAGAGGGAGGGAGAGCGGCGAGTGTCTGGACGGCAGCGGGAGTGGATGTGGTGGACGTGGTGGATGTTGGTCGATTGCTAGATTGGGGAGGAGCAGCATCGGATCCCTTTCGTCAACAACAACCACATTATTCATTTAATTATTACTCGACTCTGTACGGTCCAGATGGTCGGAAAACACATCAAAACAATTCCTAACTTGGTTTCTCAGCTATTGGTAGCTATGAGCTATGCTTAAAGATGTTTCTGCCTGGTTCCAATCGTTGAACAACAATAGTCAGATGTATGGATAGAAGCTCCAGGTACTGTACCTACCGGTACGCAAAGGCTGGTCCAATTGAGCCCAAGATAGCTTGACTTTATTTGGGTCTAGTGCTTCGTCGACTGTTCTAGGGCTGTTCGCAAGGGTGAAAGAGAAAGAAAAAGAAAAAGAAAAAGAGAAGCGGTGAGAGAGGAGTCAAATATCTTTTTTTTTTTTTTCTCTTTGAGGCTAAACTGTTGCAAAGCTCCTGGCCAATGTACAGGTACGGAGTAAATATTTACTCTATTATTGTTCCAATTATGCGCCCGGCAGGGAAATCCGATGGAGATTTGAGGTTCGGGACCCCGACCGACGCATCCACGGTAAGCACACACACCGCGGGCGTCCACCACACCCTGCTGAAACGCTGCCAGGCGAATGACCAGCCGCATTGTATTCTTAGTAATATTAGGGTGTCGTGGCCACTCAAAGTGTTGCTCCATCGTACGGTGATGACGACTGATCCCGAGGATACCGTGTCCATCCACAGAAAACAAACTATCTTCAGGCATACGGTACCTAGTAAGTTACTGTACAATGTGTACATACATTTCTAGCGTGTATACCGTACATAAGGATTAGTTTACCTTGATGCATGCTGAGACGCACCTAATGCTACTATGAATGTAAATGCTATCTAACTTTATGGCCTGGCCTGTCGATCTCTTTAGCTCCCCTTTCCCCGCGTCATAAAAAAAGTCTCATAAGCTAAATGCTGCATGTAATCATAATCATCAAATCACTTCATACAAAACGCCCCGGGAAACCTTCCACGCTGCGATCTGCACATGGATCACTTGCCCACCATGATTTGTTGAACAATAGAACCACATCAACAACCACAGAGGAGTAAAAAGCAGACGGACCAAAAGCAAGCACCATCTGAAACACCGTGCACCCACCAAAACATTTGATTAACCCGCCCAGACACCGAAGCCTCTCCTTGGGATGTAGGCCTTTGTTCCCTTATGCCAATCCGTTCTCACAGCGTCAATTGAAAATCCTGAGCTTCCACATCTTCATCATAAACTGGAAGTTCCTCTTCAGCAACCAAGATGGGAAGTCCATCGGTCAAAGACAACATGCCAGAAGGATGCAAGTAAGTTTCTGGAGATAAAATGCCCTTCGGAGCCGTGTCCTGCTCGACCGGGGTAGCTGTTCTGCTACTCATCTTAGATGATACTTCGCGGCCTCGAGTGTACCCCAGAGTAGTTTTGGAATTGGCTTCAGCTGCGGTGTGATGCATGCTTGACGGGTTGTCTGGGGCTCGGGGTGTTTTTGTAGAAAACAAGGACGTGGCCATCCTTGTCCTTGGTTTGGCCAAAGTAGCTGATCGGGTGCGGGGAACCGATCGGTATGTCCCAGAGAGGGCGGTAGCGGCATCACGAGCACGTACGGTGGAAACACTGCTGGTGCTTTTGATGAGACCCGCAGTCGCTCTGGTACGGCGGGTTCCGACACGGCGTTTCACCGTCTCTGCCACAGCAGGCTCCTCCGGTTGTTCTGTTTCAGACGGCTCTCCGAAATCGATGCTCTCAACCTGCTTCAGGATCATATCATCGATCAGTTTGTCACAGGCTGCTGAGTCTTTCTGGAATTTGCGCTCTCTTTTAGTCAATCCATCAGGTCCGATCTCATTCTCAGCGCCATACACGCTCTCCAACCCGCGTGCAAGGTTCCTCCCTTGAAACTGAGGGAACGTGGTATCGTAGGTAATTTCATCAGGGTAGTCCGGAAGATCTGCTGCTGTTAAATATCAAAGATCGGTACCAGTATGTAAGTGGGTGACCAACCTTGAGGCTTGGGCGGCATATACTCAATGTCGGGAACGTCATCCTGCACATGCTTGGTTTGTGTTTCTGGCTGCGCCTGTTCGATGAAGGGGGAGAACTTTTTCACCCTCTGGGTCGAACCCCTTTTGAGAGACTTCTCTGGCTTCGCGGTCCCTCCGGGAGGCGCGGGGGTCTGTAGGCCTCTAGCTTTGGCATTGGTGGTTTTCATGCCCAAGGGGGCGCGTTGACGGGGGTCAGCTGGAAAGAAACGCGTCGTATTAGCACTTGGATCAGATTCTATCCCAGGAATATAGCATCTCTTCCATACCTAGTGGGGTCATAAAGGCATCTTTGATGCTTTCCTTCTGTTTACCTGCTCCCTTCACAGTCTTTTTGCCGAAAGCCAGGGGATCATTTTCGTCGTTCAATGGAATCTTGAAGGGCGTTTTGGGTGCTCGCGTTCCAGGTGTCTTCGGCTGTAGGTGTCTCAAGCCCTGGTTCAAGGGTTTTGATGCGGCGACCGTTTGATGGCTATGCACTAGGTTCTCTTGGTCGCGAAGAGCCAACATGGCGGCGGCTTACGAGTCACGTCAGCGCATTCAAAGGCGATAAACCGGATCGGGGCGAATTTGTCTGTGTCGAATTCGGAGACCCTTGCCAGCAAAGAGTCTGGAGCAAGAGATGGCAGTCGAACAGTCGAAGTGGTTCTAGACGCGGACATGACGAACAGCCAGGATGGGGGGAAAGGGTGTTTGCGAGGCGGTTGCCCGTGGAGACGGGGCTGGTGAAAGGGGAAAGCCACACAGTGGTTCTACGGTCGCTTGCCCGTCAGCCACGGCCCCTATACCAGATCGGCTAGGACCCAACCCGCTAGTTGTGCTAGCGGCTGACCGCCAGCGCCAGGCCAGAAAGTCAACCTTACCTTAAGGCCTCCTCCTCCACTTCTCTTTCTTTCCTCCCTATTATTCCCATCTGTCCAAACTATCTTCTTGCATCAATCACATCTCTGTCCTCTTTCCCTGGTTTCTCGCTGAGCGAAAGCCCGTTGTTGCTGTTACATCCTACTCTCTTCCACTCCGTACATATTTCCTCGTTGCAAATAACTTACTCAAAATGGATAAGATTAAGGAGGTGAGTGTCAACCCTTTCCCCTCTTACCCCCCCCTGTTGGCGGGGTAGCTTTCAAGTTGCTGTCCCGATAGTCCACATGCACACCACCTATTGTCCTTGCCTCAACATCTGGATCCTGCATATATCTGCTGCAGTATATTTCTCATAATAGGAAAAAGCAAAATAAACTTTCCCTGAGATGCACAACTAACCTTGGCTGATCTAGAGAATGAACAACCTCCGCCTGGAGGCCGAGGAGGCTCAAGAGAAGGTTGAAGAACTCAAGACCAAGGTGAAGACGTTGGAGCAGGAGAACCTGGCCAAGGAGCAGGAAATTACATCCCTCAACCACCGGAACCAGCTTCTGGAGGGTGAGGTGGAGAAGCTTGAGACTGCCCTGAAGGAGGCCAAGGATGCTGCCAACCAAGGTGCTCAGCACGATACCCAGAACGAAGCTCTCCAGAGACGTCTCCAGCTTCTGGAAGAGGAGGCTGAGGATGCCGACAAGAACCTGCGCGAGACGAACGAGAAGTATGTGCTATCTATACCTTTTGCCTATTTAGATGAGAGGAGGTTGATGCTGACTACGCTGGTATTTTAAGGCTCCGCCAAACCGACGTCAAGGCTGGTCACTACGAGCGCAAGGTGCAGGCTCTCGAAGCGTCTCGCGACCAATGGGAGAGCAAGTATGAGGAGATGGCTAAGAAGTACGCCGAGCTGCAGAAGGATCTCCACGAGCTCGAGGTCTCCATTAGCAATGTCTAAAGGCCAGGGTGGCGCGGATTACCGGCAACAGGGGGCCCCAGCTTTTTTTTCCCCCACATATACTATCCTTTTAGCTTTCTATCCCTGCACACCACAACCTGATTTCTTTCGTTCCTGTCGGCAGAAGCGGCTTTGGCAGTCTCTGTCCGTCTTGTCATCTAGCTGGCTTTGTTATCGTTCCCATCAACCGGTTTTCCGCTCGTCCTCGCAACCTTGTCTATTCTTCCACTCGACGTCAAACATTTTCATCGTTGCCAGAAGGTACATAGAATATATTTAATAGGAGTGCCCATGTGCATTGTCACCATCTGTTGATTAAATTCAAGCCAAGTCCATGGAACTTATGATCGCTCGCGTCGGGCGTTCGCCTTCCTCGATTTGGATGCGCGCTCCTTCATTCTGGTTACCTTGCGCTCTTCCTTGCTTTCGTAACGGAACTTTTTCTTCTTCTTCTTGGGCTTGTTGTCCGACTTTCGCTTCTTGCTTTGTTCGGCAGAGGGGTTGGGTTCGGCAGTTGCTTTGGAGGCTGACTCCGAGTCTTCGTTTTCGATGTCTGATTCGTCGACCGCTGATCGCAGAAGTCCTTCCTTGGAAGTATCCATTTCCTCTACCGTTACCGTCGTATATTTGTCTTCGTCGATATACTCAGCTTCGTAGTCGACGGCCGGGGGTTCCGTGAACCCCTCCCAATCCTGGTCCTCGACGTCCTCGTCCTGGCTGTCCTGATCAGAGCCATCGCTGCCGTCTTCCGCTGCCTGCAGCTTTTTGAGCTGTCTCTGATGTTCTTCGATTGCACGTTGAAAGCCAGCAGTTCGTTCTTCCCGAATCTGAGTAGACATTACAGTTAGCCTTGGTTGAGCGACCTTCTACGGCGATTTGATATAGGCATAATAATCCTTACCCTCTTGCGCTCGTCTCTCTTCATCTCTTTCGCTTTCTTGATTGCCACTTCTTGTGCATGTTTGATTCTTTGTTGCTTCCGCTTGCGAAAGCCTGTGAGAAATGATTCGCGGTCAGCAGCGTCGAAGTTGATCTCCTCGACTTTGCTGGCGACCTTTCTTCTTTTGGCTTGAGGACCCATTCTCGTGGAAGGTTATGGGTGTGGTAATTAAAAGAATATTGTCAATGTATAGCGAAATAAAAAAAAATCAAAGCGATTTGGATTTTTCAGAGCATGCACACCGGAGTGATCGTTCGATATTTCCGTGGGGGAAAATTGCGATCTAAAGCCCGGCATATAAATTGTAAAGGAGGCTAAATAGTGCCCGTGCCGAAGTCGACCGCCTCCGAGCCGGCGGGCCATCACACCTGGCTCTAACATCATTCATTCATCTGGGGTCCTTCCGGAGAGCACTGCATCTATTTGGTTAGTTATATTCACCCAACCATCATGCGCTTGGGAACTCTATCATTGCTCGCTCTGGGAGCGACTACAACTAGCGCCTTCCATGATACTTCTCCCTTTTTCCTAGCATCGACTTCGGAGTATGCACACCCAACTTTGCGCGCAGGCGAACCCTCAGTCTCCGAGGAACGAGCCAGCTAACAGCTCCCTTAGGAATCTTTCTACCTCAGCACAGCTTAAGACTGCTTCTTCGCTACTGGAGGATCTTTCCTCGAAGCTTTCTGGCTGTCCTTCCGACTATTATGTTATCGCTTCCCAACCTGGAGTCCACAGCAACGACTTCTCTACACTCAAGTCCGCACCCCGCCTCGGCGCGAAATTGACTGGCAAGGACCATACCATCCGCTCAAGGACGATCATCAACGAAGTTGTTGGAGTTCTAGAAGCAAGGAAGGTGCAAGAACTATTAGAAGCGGAGTGTGGAGCTCAATCTACCATCATTGATGCCTCCTGTAAGTATTCCGATCTGGGCAAGCTGCACAGGACAGCTCGGGCTAACTTTCTGTCTTTTAGCTGGCATTTACTCTCCCGACTTTGGCGCTGAGCCCCGTGTGATCCGCCTCGACTTCCCTGTGCTTCCACAGGGATCTGAACGCCGCCTCCAGCTTTCCGATAATGGTCTGTACCCAAGCAATTACACTTTGACCCTCTTCCGAAAACACGGTGCTAAAAGCTTTGATAGATGGCCTTCTCTCCGACATTATCGAACGGCTGCCGGATTCCAAGAAGTACACTATTCTTTACATCACTTCGCCTAAGGAAACATTGAGCTCTGACATCGGTGTTTACCAATCTGAGGATGCTTCCTACCAGGACCCCCTCCACATGGATTTGAAGCGGGACTTCTCGGCACATGGTCTTGAGGATGATGCTCCCTCAAACAAGACGCTTTTCCGCGAATACCACTATTTCACCCCAGGTATGTGTAGAGTGCCCCAGGCCATGAATCACCCCGATCTGACAGCAAACAGGCATCATTATGGGGCTGATGGCCTCTCTTTTCTGTCTTCTGATCTTGTATGTTGGTCTCAGTGCTCTCCTGAGCCTCGAGGTTCCGTACGCGGCGTTTGAGAAGGACATCTCCGCCAGTGTGCAGAAGAAACAGCAATGATACAGCAATTAATTGTTCGTGATCTCTTGCGGAAGACCTTGCTTGAACGTGTCTAGCTTTTTGGTTTTGTTCTTTTCAGCACAGTATATCTTGTTTTTGAAATTCACTGCATATTTGTATGCTGGCGTTTCATCTTCTTTATGCGATAAATCATGATGCTGTACGGAGTGTGATGTATGCTATATTTGGGTGCATGTCCCTGGATCTGGATGTTATCGATAATAGTCACGTGATTAGATGGAATGCGGGCATTTGGAGGCCAAGGGGCGATCACGGTTTATCTCAATTTGATAACCACTTGATACTTGGACTGGTCGTTTCCTGGTCTTGCTAGTGCATCAGAACTCCTACTCCTAGTCAAACTAATTACCCACAAATTCACAAATAGCCATAAATAGCACCTGTATCTCCGTCACGTGAGAGCCTAAGGCAGGGAGGGGAGCCGGTCCAGACGGAGCACGGGGCAACCCCCCCGTATTCCTATTGCCTCTTCTTTTCTCTGCTGATCATGTGTTATCGTCCGTTGTCGTTGCACTTGTGTATCGTGGGTTTTTACCGCGCTCACTCGCTTGTCAATAATCCCTTGTCTTTCGCTACTCAGCATGGGTCTTTCTTGATATCACTGTTGAGTCTCTGCATAGTCGTTCGTTAAGGCTGCTGACGATCCGATCTTGTTCGCTTCTTCGCTGATCTTGGACCCTCTTCTGCTGGGTGGAGACTTGCCTGATAGTGCTCCCCCTCATTCCCGTCGTGTGTCTGGGGACAGCCGCTGTTGATGCGATCAGTCTGCAGAGACATTCGCTCTCGTATGCTTGTCGTGGCTATGCCCAGTTACGTTCTGCGATAGTCATTCAACGCACTAATCGACATCGCGTCCTAAACAGGATCTACCTCTTAGCAGTTTGCGATTACCACCAACAATCATGGTGGCTTTGTTCAAGGGCGTTGGGAGAGCCCACCGGCCTTCTTTCACTCTACTTCTTGTGTTGTTCGTTATGCTTGTTGCTCAAATCTCCGTAGCTCAAGATGCGACCACGGATGATAATACTACAACCACCACAAGCGTGAGCTCGACAACAGAATCGGCTACAACCTCGTCGTCGTCGTCATCGTCATCGACAAGCACTACCACTAGCTCGTCGAAGAGCAGCTCCACGACATCGGCCTCGACGGCATCAACTGGTACAGATACCTCATCCACGTCGACTACATCGGCATCCTCGTCCTCCTCAACAGATGGTTATCCCGTCGTCACTGTGCCACCAACTGCAGATGCGCCATATATGCAAAAGTCCAACATCCCCGAGGGTACCCTATTCATCGCCGTGGGAGCAGTTCTGGGAGCCATTGGGCTCGCGATTCTAGCATGGCGCGGCATAGTTGCATGGTCTGTGAACCGCTCTGTGCGCCAAGCCGCAATGACGCGCTCGTCCGAATCGAAAGGCCTCTTGCGTTCGAAGAGAAGAAAGTCGCGTACTAGGAGATCCTCTTCCGCGGGACCTGGCGTCGCCCTCGACAAGCTTAGTGGAGTTGGAACTCACCAGCATCACCGTCACAGCCACCACAGCCACCGACAGCACCGAACCTCAAAGGGCCCCAGTGCCAACAGCGGGCTCTTCTTCTCACCAACCGCCGGGATGCAACACGGCAGCGGAAACCGCCGTTCGAGCTACCTTCCGGCGGGTTACTACAATGCCAACAACGTGGGAACCACTCCCCGCACTCAAGACGCACGTTACTCAGCTGCCGACCTGACGGGGCTTGGGGGTCCTCAAGCGCAGGGCTACGCCCCGACTAGATCCGTGCCCAGTCCCCCCGAATCCCCGGGTCTGCCCCAGTATCACGATCAACAGGATACCCCTCCTCGTCGCAACGCCAGAAGGTCTCACGTCGAAGCTTCCACCAGCACTCTGAATCTAGCTTCCCCGCCAGCGGGAAGAACCCCCAGCGCATATTTGGAGGATCTGTTCGATAGTCATCCGCCTCAAAACCGGGACTGATCTGTGTCTCAAACTGGATGAATCCTCATTCTCCCAACACGCATCTTTCAGTTTGGTTCTAGAAATCTCAGTCCAGCCCTTTTTTCCATTTCTGTGTGCATCTATTATATTACCCTGTGTCTAAAGTCACGTGGCATTTCTTCACTTCTGTTGTGTCTGGTATAAAGTTTCTATTCTCGAACATAGTCGAATTGTCTAATAGCAAATCCTGATGAAGTAATCACTGCATGTCCTCCCAGCGAACCGCTCCGTACTCAATTGCCCACGGGAGTTAGCAGGTATTTGGAAAACATCCGACTATTCCAGACTAGTCATCTATGGCTTCGAGAGGGGTTTGGCACGCCTTTCAACTGCGGGTTGGTAATGGTGTCACCTGACGGCCTCTGCGCCAGTTGGCTTTCATCTTACTAACTACGACGGTTGTGAGAATGGAAGGCATCACGTGCTGTGTTCCAGGATCGGAGAACAAGACTCACTGCACAATCACATGGTATCCTAATGCGGGTATGCGGGCCGCAGAGACAAAGGAATCGAGACTACGACTCGGGAGCGGGTGGAAGATTCAAAGCTTAGAACATCTATAGATTATACAATATATACGAGGCGAGCACGCTCTAGAAAGCGCCTACGCCGGATTGATCAGTCCGCATCCAGCTTACCGCTGAACTCGCCGAGCAGAATATCATCCAGCGCTGGGCCGCGGCTGTTCCTGACTGTCGTGTCGCAAGGTTAGCCGGGCGTCACACAAAGAAAAGAAAACGTGGTGGAAGCAGGGAACTTACTCCACTCGGTCTCTATGCGGAGGAAGATCCACATCCATCGGCGTGCGACCTCGAGAAACATGAGGACAAAAATTCCGAATTCCGTGTCACTTAGCCAGACGAGACCTGGCACATATCGCGCGAGCCACGAGAAGCGAATGGCGAAGTCGATGCCAACGGCAAGGTAGTACTGACGATCAGCGAAGAACCGGTGGCGACGGAGGCCGAACGGATATTCTGGACTGTCGCGCAAGGGCGACAAAAGGGTCAGGTCCCAATCCTTGGTGACGTCCCAGTAGAATGAATATGCGGAGTTGGTCAGAGTGCAGAGAAACCTAGTGACGCAAGGACATTAGCCTCCAACTGTTTGACCTGCAAGTCAGGCGATTAGAAATACTTACAAAAGTCGTGAGAGACCGGTCTCGCTGAATCCATAGAACTCCAGGGGGTTGTAGTTCCTCAATTTTGCCGTGAGCATGATGACGGGAAATGCGGTAGCGTATTTCAATGCGTTAGCCAGGTGTTGGCCCCCCGTGTTCCCATTCTTGTGACCACCTTGCCATACACGGAAGTATTCGATGAGACACTGACGTAGCCGGATCATACTGGGAATGGAGATGACAAGTGGAATAAGGTAGTCGTTCCCACATTTGCGATTCGGTTTCGATGTACTGCCTAGATCCCCAGTGAAGAACATGCAGAAGGAGACAACCAGATCTCCCAGGACTTTGGAGTAGCTCGTCAAGGCATCTGCCAGGAGAATGTCCCCAAACTTGCCATCTTGGGGCTGCGCCAATCCACCAACACAGATGCGCTTCAAAGTAGTGAAGAGGCGGAATCGGCCCGAGCGCGCGACCCGTATGAAGGGTTGAATCAGAATGATCCCGGCAATGAAGAAGTATGATTGCGGGATGTAATCCAACGACTCGACACGTTGTCTGGAACCGTGGGTGACGGGCCAGAAGATGAGAAGGGAGATCACGAGAGGGATGGTCAGGAGAGTGGCTAAGCGGTAGGCGGAGGCGTAATGAGGTGGGTGGTTAGCGGACTGGCGGTGGGGGTATCGAATGAGAGAGGGAACGTCCTGGTAGATATTAGACAAGCTGTCACGAGAAGCAAGGACTAGGAAAGAATGAGGGGGGGATTAACCCACAACATTCGCTTTTGAGAGATACTGCAGATTGGCACCCCATCCCCAGAACCCTGTCAACAGCAATTAACAACGATCGAAGAGGGTTGAAGATAAGAGAACAATTAATAATGAACAATTAGCATACCAGCCAAAAAGATTACCGCCACACGCGAGGGGAAGGGAAGGAATAGACTGAAGCCATCCAATTGAGCATGTTGATCAGGACCCATATTCCATTGAAGTAGCGGCGCCGGTTTCTGTTAGCACCTGGGGACGGCGAAATAGGGAGATCAGGTCGAAGACTGGTGGATTGCAAGGGAAGTAGATCCCGGAAAAGAGAATGGGAAAGCCAGCAAGATATGGAAGCAGAGGAGGAGGGGTAGGATAGAAAGAAGAAGAGGAGAAAAAGAATCGGCGTCAGAGAGGTACTCAGGGTGAGTTTGACGAGCACGAATACTCAATCACTCCGTCAATTCAATCGAATCATGACCGACCCGCAAGTGTGAACCTCACTCAAGACCAGACAAAAAGAAGCTCAGGGACGGTTTCAGTCTTGACTGACCAGCGGCTTTCTCGGGTTTAGCCTGGAGGATGCGTCCTGGTCCCGCTTTCGGCTTAGCGGCGCTTCTTGGCGCTGGCGTCCAATTTTGGCTACAGCTCTCGATCACGTGTACATTACTACCGAGGTATCTTTCAATCTTTCAGCAATCTACCACTCCGTACTGTACATACAGTACTTGGGGCGGGCGGAGCTCCGCGATAACTACTAAATCCAACATTCAAAGCGAAACTTATGACTTTCTCCCTTCTTAACTCCCTGATTATCTAGCCTCTCTCCTTCTCGCACTCTGCTCTACTGATTTCACGTTGTTTATCGTCCTCCCTGTTCGCTCTTCTCGCAATGGCGGACGAAGATCTCTCGATAACCACCGCCTCGGCTCCCACCACCTCCATACGTCCCTCGGGCCACTTCTACCCTTTCGCGACCTCGCCAGACATCATCCGCTCTCACGAGAAGGATGTTTTTCTCTCCGCAAGCTTGACCAACCAAGCCCAATCCATCGCCCGTTCCCTTCGTGGGGCACGGTTCGCCCATACGCACTCCGAGGCCATCAAACGACTGACCGAGACCCTGTATTTCTCCCTCACCACCTTGATCGGGAATCGGACCTTGGGTGAGGAATACTGTGACCTGGTCCACTTGGAGGACGATACACTACAACTCCCTTCTCTCCCCCGGCGGGTCGGATACATCCTCAGCAGCATCCTGCTCCCGTGGGCGCTTCAGCGGATCCTCCCCGCATTCCGACAGCGATTGCGAGCCAAACTCGAACGTAGCGTTGCCCGCCAGCAGGTCAAGAACGCCCAGACCAAAAGCACGCAAGACGATCCGCACAGCCAATCGGGCTCTGTCTTCACCAAGCTGCGGATCCAGCGATATATCCTGGAGCACCTCGACTCCATCACGTCGCTGTCGCCCATTTACGCCGTCAGTATCGCGACCTTCTATTTCACCGGCGCCTACTACCACCTCGCGAAGCGCTTCTGGGGCCTGCGTTATATTTTCACCAAGAAGATCAACGAAAACGAGCAGCGGGTAGGCTACGAGGTCCTGGGCGTGCTTCTCGTACTGCAGATCGCAGTGCAGGGAGTTCTGCACATCAAGAAGGTGGCGGCCAGCCTGCAGCAGGAGGACCAGGATCGTCAAGCAGCGGACGCTGGAGCGGCTAGCGGTCAAGGCGATAAGGCGATAACCTCCGTTGAGAATCCGTCATCGCTTCCGCTTTTGCCCGCTAGCCGTGCCCGGTACGACTTCGCCGAGGACCCGAACGCGGTCCCTTGGATACCTGCCGGCCAACAGCGCAAGTGTACCCTGTGTCTAGAGTTGTTCAAAGATCCGAGTGCTACCACTTGCGGTCATGTGTTCTGTTGGACATGTGTTCGAGACTGGGTACGCGAGAAGCCGGAGTGCCCGCTCTGCCGCCAGGAGGTCCGCCTGTCTAAAGTGCTACCGTTGAGAGGGTAGTACTAGTCCCAAAGGCGTCCCACCTAGCCCCGTCGCATACTGCTTTCTTGGCATGTTTCAGCGTTGCAATTTGCTTGTTTCAAATATACCCTTTCAATTTAGAGATATATTTTGACAGTTTCCTGCCTGGATCGCAGCCACCTGTCAAAATCCCAGCTCACATCTATATATCTCCAACACTTCGTAGAAAATCCCACATCCCTGCCTAACATAAGTTCAAGGACGTATTGCGTCTATAGCTCCCTGTTCAAAGGCTAACAATTATTGGATCAGAGTATACTGATATGACGGGCAAATATTGCAAATGCACATCGCTGAAACGTTGCGGTGAGAGGCACTGGTTTGTTTGTTTTCGAAAAAAGGAACCGTATTAGCCCCCCCGATATATATATAGACTTATATAATTAGACGGTACACTTTGAGTCTTCCGGAGCATCCCCGGGTTGCACTACTTCGACTTCTTCCAAGTCAGCAGTGACAGGCGCTTTGCACACAACCCGGATCGGTATATTCAGTTCGGCGTGGGCAGGAAGAGGGGGCGTTGGGTCCAGTGCTTGTCGTTTGGCATCCATCTTGTCATATAAGCAGACGCATGCATATGGGTCGGACGCAGCATCTATCCAGAGCCCCGTCAGCTATTTTCAAGTCTTTGGTAAAGGATCAAGGGCACTCACATTGAACCTGGCGATAATTCAAGGTCGCTGTCCATTCGCTGCACCGCACGGTTTCTTCTTTTTGCAAGGGTAGCCCGAAATGCTCCTCCACCTGCTCGCTCAGATTGACAAGGCGCTTATTGATCAGTTTGGGATTCGATTGGCAGTACTTGATCAGCTTGTGAAGATGGCTAAGCTCGAAGATCCCGTGCGCATCTATCTGGAGATACTTTCGGAGACGGGTGCAGTCCGCTTTGATGGAAACACCAGCTTTCGTGATGGCTGGATCTTCGATGATACGCTTCAGCGTCGGTGGTACAAGATCGGCGATACCTCTTGCCGGCTTGAACAGTGCCACGTGAAAGAGCGCGATGCGGTGTCGGTTCGCAATCTGGATTAGCGAAATGTTGTCTTGGATGCGGTCCCATGCCGAAGCCGAGGCCTTCCATTCCAGGTCAAGCCCAATGATATCATCCTCTACAAAAAGCTGTGCGATATCCTCGCTACTCTTCAAGCTCCTGCAATAGTGCACCACAATTTCTTTCCCTTCCGGGCTCTTTTGTAATTTGTGGCTCCAGAATTCCGGGGTAACGGGGTTCTTGGCTGTGTCCTTTTGAAGCTGTCGGGCTGCAAAGTGACTCTTGATCGAGCCCATGGGGCTGCTACCGGTCTGGCCCACTGGCGCAGATAATCCTTTTTGAGGACCCTTGAATAAAGTCGATGCCTCGGGCTTCTGCAAGGTTCCGAGCGGCCCAGGATCTGAGGCGATTAATGTATTTGAGCTATATGATCGCCTCATCTCTCCCAGGCAGGTTCTCTTGGGCTTTCGCCCCTGATGGTTCCAGACCCCTCTCCGAGACACGGAAGAGGCACCTGAAGGCGCCTGAAATGAGCCCTGGGCTCCATTGGGAGAGGCTGAAGGTCGATTAAATATGTCAAACCATGGCAGGGTCCTGCGTCGCTTGGAGCCACTAGTCTCTGGTCGAGAATCCATGGTCAAGGCTGGCTTCGCCAATGCGGCGTAGAATCTGCCGATATGGACGCTTAGTCCTGGCTGCTGGCTCGGGGCGCACGGCCTGCGTAGCGACCTTGAGCTTGCCGCCAAAAAAGCCGGATCTGGCGATGGAAACCTGTGGTTACGGTCAATCGGGGTTATATGGAACGAGTAGAAGAAGGGGTGCGGCTTACCGTGTAAGTGCCGACGTAGTGACAAGCATCTTATGAGTCCGGAAGGCTAAAGAATGTGGAAATGCTGTCCACGCGCGGTTCCTGTTTTGTCCCTTGTGATAGCAGGGCGCTTAGTGCGGATTAAGAGGATTTAGACGAGGCTCAACCCGATCATGCTCTTGAGCTTCAGTCAACCAAGAGAAAATTCCAAGAGGGAACTGAGATCTCAGCTATTTACATTGAAAATGGCGGTGTCCAAAGACACATTGATTGCTTCCATGAAAGTCGGTAAAATATGGTACCTGAAGAACCTAAAGAAGGTGGTGTACAAGTAGGTAAGGAAAACAGGCCGTGGCACGGTACTACTGTTAGTCAACTTACGATGCTCTATCTGATTGGGTTGAGTGAGCGGGCCGGATAAACGCGAGTTCCAGCGAAGATGCCAAGATTGTCTGGATGGATTCATCACTGACCGTTTCCGCCCACCGCGTCAGTTTCTAGATCAAGTATCTTGTACCCCTGTCGTACTGTGAAAGCCCCCAAAGACTTTCATTTTGTTTATTTGCTCTCTTCTTCTCTCAAGTCTTCTTGAGCTTTGTATCAACTCTGTTTCGATCTAGTATCACTGTTGGCCGAAACCTCTCACAATGGCTTCTCAACTTCTTCCTCTTGGTAATTCACTGCATCATATGAATATACAGTAACATGACCGTGCTAACCCTCGGACTAGAGCTGATCGACAAGTGTGTCGGCTCTAGAATCTGGGTTATCATGAAGAATGATAAGGGTTGGTGCCGGCAACCTCTTTTCTTTCCCGGAAGGCAGAATCATTAACTTCTTATCGAACAGAGTTCTCTGGTACATTGCTGGGATTCGATGACTACGTCAGTAAGTGGTCAAGTTCGCTCCTGCTCTGCTAGTATCAATAATCTAATTTCGCTTTCAGACATGGTTTTGGAAGACGTGACAGAATTGTAAGTGTCTTCGACTGCGTATCCTGCTCTGGCTACATCATGCCATCGCATTAAATCGCCCTACAACTACCGAAATTTGGCCGATCTTCGTACTAATCGCTATCAGTGACTACTCTGGTGCGCAAGTCAAGCTTCCTAAGATACTGCTCAATGGCAATAACGTTTGCATGGTGCGAGTCCCTTCCTGCTTTCGTGTCCACCAGGCTAACAAGTTTGCGCAGTTGATTCCTGGAGGCGAAGGGCCAGTTGGGAGCTCATGAACCTCATAATATTCACGATGTTCAAGCTTTGTTTTAATTATCCAATGAATATTGATGACTGTATTCCAATCATGTCGTTCTGGCCAATAGCTCCACAGGGCGTTCTTCATCCCTCCATTCAGTCAAGAGGGAATCTGTCTCCTGTTTTTTTTTTCCAATCGTGCAATCGATGGCCGATGCATGGCCTATGGCAGATCAAGATGGCCTTCTCCAAAAGATACATAGCTATCAATCAGCGAAGCATACAAGCACGGGCCCGTCAGTTTTCACATTGATGTGAGATCGGGTCAGATGCTCTTCAAGTGGCATCGACGAGCCTGGATACGATTTTTTTCCGAATCAGTACACAATTAACCAGCATTTTGGAGCATGATCTGATTCACTGCTTGCTCAATTGACTTGCTGACTTGATGTGACCGCGCTACCATTGTCCGAATCCTTCTAGATTCGTGAGCAACCTGTTCATCCATAAATAGTCGATATCCGTACACTTGAAGTGCATCACGCGACCGAAAACTCTCAAATCACCCGGTTTCATTAGGGCCCAGTCCAGTCTTTATGCAATGACAGGACCCGCGCCGAGGTTGAGATTCAATTCCTTGCAATAAACTGCCGGCGATGCACTTCGTTTGCTCATTTTTTTTTTCCCTTTCAAAATCGACTTTCGTGGGCTCAGGCTCTTGAAGGGAGTAGAGATCATAGTGCTAAGCTGCGGTCGATAGATTATCTCTTAGGCAGTTACTACTGCCTGCAACTTCAGCGAGAGCGACTTTGAACCGAGGCAAAAAGAATAATGAGGGGAGAAAGAAGGAAGCATGACATGGTTCAGTCTTCCGCCTTCCATAGCCAAGACGAGAAATTAAGCCGACGAATGAGTGATGTCAGGATACGATGGATAGATCATAATTCATAGTTCGAGCAACCAGAAGAACATCAATAAGAGTGGCTGATGCCGTTCTGGTCAGTCTCTGAGAGCGTCCAAGAATCCATCTTCGTATCGCGAGTGGACCAGACCCAGTGCATGACTGCAGAAGAAGTGACCACAGAGAGATTCTTGGGAGCGAAGTGTCAGCTACCCCAGATATTTCCCACCGACTGGGGCCGAGTGGAAACTGTTAGGTAATAGCTTCGGCTCTTTCCCCGCATTTTCACCATTGCCCGCCCGCCCGCATTAAGGAGATAACCCTAAATGGGCCTTCTGTCTGTCCCCAAACTCAACGTCGGACGGGGTTGAATGAAGTTGGTAAACTGAAAAGTGAACTTGGAAAAGAGTGAAATGGCGACTCCGAAGCTGATCGGGGGTGGGCCCGACACTGTTTCCAGTGCAACGGGCTAACTTTCTCGTCGGTACTCGGTGCTAGAGGTCAAGACCGCCCAGTTGCAGGTCCCAACAACGACCGGCAGCATGGGCTGAGAGTTAGTGTCAGTATCTATCATGCTTACTTATGACTGTAGTTGCATAACTTGCATTGGCTAACGAGCTTATATCATCTATATTAACGTTAGTTAACAACTAGTTAGTTGAATAGGCTGCGCGGAGGGATGCAGCCACCAGGGGAGGGCCAGGTTACTCGGCGGCTGGGCTTCTCAGCTCCTGAAGGCACAATTCGCGATCGATCATTGGCTTTCGGGGATGCCGCAGGCTCCGTTGTCCGGGCTGGTCCAGTGTGAAGGTGACATCGCGCGAAAGTATAACAGGGTAAAGGGACCGACCACCCAAGGTGTGGTAAGTTTTGTTTGTACTTCCACAGATGGCTAGACTCGGATTGAGACCCTGCTAATATCTCCCTCTTCTCTTTTCCACGACACAATGAAAATGGGGGGCGAATTCACCTGTCTATGTGCAGCCGTTGTGTCATTGGCTGAAAGTTAGGATTTAGCCATGCTGTCCGACAATTGCTCCTCTTTCTTCACGTGCCGAATATCCCAGCATTAGGACCCGCCACCAACCCGTTTTTTTTTGTGAGATTACATGTCTCAGTCGACCGGGTATACTGCAACAGTGTAAGGCTGATGACCTTGGCTGCGAGCATCACGTATGGGTCAATATGCAAGACCGGCTACCTAGCGAAAGGCAGCCTGATACCCGGCCCGGTCCTGTAGTTGCGATGATTTGCTCGATCTCATCACCAATCTGGCGTCTTAGCCGCCCTAATAAAGCTACAAGACGAGCAAAAACCTAGCTAGGCGTGTCTCCGTTGACCTCATCCTCCAGATGGAACTCGGCAAATGAGTCGAGCGGATATTTGCGGTTGCGCTACGAGGGGTGGAAGAAGCAAGGTCACACCATCCTCCTCAGTTTCGTTCCTTTCATGGTTTGGCCAGATGAGTGTAACGCCGCCCATGCACGAGTGGGATGTTTGGCTCGAGGAGCCACAGCAGCAATACTGAGCGACAGCTGGGCTGCCTGCCGTGAGCAAGTCGACCCTGGCCGCGGGAGAAGGATTCTACCTAGTAAGTTGGCACTAACCCTTCTCTACATTGACCTCCGTCGCCATGACAGGGGGAAGTGTGCGAATCGACTTCCAGCTTAGGCGACTTTTTGCCGGAACAGGGTTCGCGACAAGACAGACTCGATCCCTCGGAGCCCTTCGAGAACTTCGAGAAGAAGGCGAAGAAGACCATTGGAAGAAAAGGTAGAAGATGGTGGCAGTCACCACGCAGGGAGGTATCCGTTGTACTCCGTAGATCTACAGAGGTACTCCGTACTTGTATATGGATTGTCACAATGGAGTGTACGTCAGCCACCCGCAGTGACCCTAAGCCTCTGATCGCATTTCATACACAAAGATACTGATGTTTACTATGTACTCCTCACTGTTTATTGTTTAATGGTGTTGTAATAGTACCGAAGTCAAGGCAACATGTACAGACAGCTATCTGTTGGATGTGGCAGAATGGACAGCAGTCCTAGACTCAAGAGATGAGCACCAGGCCTTTGACTGACCGATCCTTGAGAGAACCGAGGCCAGCCTCTTATCATATGCGTTTCAGCTCCTTGATTGGCTCTCGCTTCGCTGCGAGAATTTAATCTCGGGAGGCAGCTGCATGCCTGAGGGATGAAGTCCGTTTACCGTCGGACATATTCTAGGAAGGATCAGCACGCGAGGGCTTCTAGACACATTCCAATGATGAGATGTGATGTAGGCATCATCTTCTATCAGGAAAAAAATAAGAAAGGGAAAAGAAAATTAATTGTCAGGAAATCCAGAGATAGCGGCCATTGATAATGATAAATCCGATAGCTATCAATC